TGAGATGGCTTTAGAAAAATAGCTACATCTCGTCAAAAAAGCAAAATCGCTCGGGAAAATATATGTTTTTTTGAATCTAGAGTTTCCGCTCGACCGATTGATGTACAAATATTCATATGTTAGCGGGCAAACTTGATGATACCGTAGGCTCGGAAATGGTAGACTCATTGAGAAAATAGCTACATCTTCTCAGGTTTGATTACCAAAGTCAACTCTATTAGCTTGAGGATAGTTCACTGTGAATCGGTCAGTAGCTCACGTGAGCAAATTTTGCGAGTGCACAAAATTTTCGGATGGGTGGAGCCACCTCGCATTTGATGAGCGGTAGATGTCGACAGAGTGGATCAGGGTGGAATTATTAGGCAGCTATGAAATGGCTGACTATCAGGGAAGGCGAACATACTCCGGTATGTCCAAAGGTGTGTTGTTTCGGCTTGTTTCAAGTATTTCAAGGCTGCATTCACTCTATTCGAACTCCATGATTACCGCAACGTGTTATCGATAGTGGCAGTTGATAATGTGCAATATATCCGGGCTAATCATCAACAATAAGAGAAGCAACTTTATTCATTCAACGAATCACAAAACATGATATCATTTGTTCGGTCACATTTCCAATCAATCAAAATGTAATACTTCACGGATCAAGCAATTGTTATTGCAACGTCATTTTACAATGATACAATCGGGGCTAGCGCGAATCTAGGCGACACACATGAATATCATCATTGAGGCGACGCTTTACCTCCCGAAAAAAGGCATATCGAAGCCATTATTGAGTTCTCCACTTGTTGCTTATTGCACCTCGATTAAAGGTTGGTCTTTTTCCGGTTTTTGGACAATTTCAAAGCATCAATTTACCAATCCTTGAGATGTACTTCCGTGTCATACAAGCTGAAATGACACCCTGATATTTCTATCACACAGTGACGGAGTTGTCGTGCCAGCCTTTTAGATAACAATCACAATCTGACTATAAGCAAATTCATTCAAACATAAATTTTCTGTTCCATTCAATGTGTTCGAATTCATTTATTTATATACATTTGAAATGGGGATAGCGAACAAGAAATAAATTGCAGAGTCGACGAAATGAACAATCGCACTGTCACGATCGAAGGGATCACGCTCGAAAAAAAAANNNNAAAAAAAAACTGAAATTGAAAAGTCAAGAGGATGAACGAATAAAATTAAGAACAGCTCCAGTTTTTCGGACATTCCGCAATAAGTAATCATATCATAGAATTGCGTTATTATAGAGAATTGCGGCAAAACAATTTTTTAAATGATCGCAATTCAGAGTTTATTCTGTTTGCAAAATTTGGATTATTGAAGTTTTGTTCGCTCACTGATCTGTGATAAGCTGTCAAAGATCTATGAGAATAAGCCGAATCGCCAGGTAATCCAATAAGGCCATGGAGACTTGCGTATGAAAGAGTTTATTAAGTTTATGCTACCGTGAACGTGTGAAATTGTATTTGTGGAATGAATAAAATCGCATGAATAAACGAAAGCAAACGAAATGAATCGCTCTCAATGAGAATAATTGAATTGAACGCAAAATTTGTGACGACTGTATTGCTATCAATTGTTTCAGCGCAACGCAATGCCCAGTAGCGTTGGTGTGATAGAATCGAGTGCTTGACAAATACTTCAGCTTTCTTAAGAATCTAGCCAACGAATACATCACACTCTCATCAAAAATTCATGACAGCTGATGAGATAATGAAAAATCAAAAAGTGTTCATATGGGAATTTTGACGGCATTTCAGCTTCATCTAAAACAACTGATGCGCACAATGTGAACATTCGTTATTGATCGATCTTGCATGGACCGACCGCAAACTGCAAAAAAAATTCAAAATTTTCGAAATTGCCATTAAAACCGTCAAGATATTATGCTGCCACACAGTTTTGAGAAAAAAAAACATTCCGGAAAGTTTATTTCTTTCGCGGTTTGGAATCAGTCTCCAGTTTAATCTGTTCCACCCTGGCAACCTTTGGCGTCGACTCTTCTGAAACCAAAATTACAGATAAACAATTTGAATGAAAAGATTTCTGAAGAACTTCTCTTGATTTTTCATATTTACAGAATGTTCGCAATTAAATGAAGGATACGTTTGCAGATTTCCGAAGAAATCAATAGTTGTAGCCAGTGTGCAGTTTGAAGGTTTTCGATGTTATTATGAAAATTTCTTCGTTATTGCAAACATGAAATAACGAATTTTGAAATTAAATGGGAAGAATGCTGATAGATTATGCGAAAAACCAACTCTGTCGATTTTGAAACGTTGGAATAGTTAAACTGTGTTGGCCACATGACTCTGAAAAAGCGCAGATTTGGTTAAATAGGAAATAAAAGCCTTATTGCTTCAGCGTTCGTTAAGTGTGTAATAAATCATGCGATCTTGGCTGGAATTAGGCAAAGTATTCTCAAAACACCGAATGCTTTGCCTAATTCCAGTGATGTGCATGAGCAATTGAGTGCAAGTGTAATTTACTGCTCGACGGGTTACTGCTGAGTCGGATCCTTTGTGAATGACGACTGCTTAATATTTGCTTTTAGTGACTTTATTAGCCATTTTTGGCCATGTGATGATAATGAAAGCGGAATATCGCGATGCATTATTATACATTCCGTCTTTGGGCTCAGGCTCAAGCTCAGACTCATAATAGAGAACGGTCTCTTTCATCACTTTGACACATTTAATAGCATCGTTTCAAATCGCATAATCAGTGGTATCGTTAAGACGGGAAGCCTTAATAACTTGAAATTCAACAAGTGCATCATCCAAACGACCGCAATAAATCACGAGTGCAATGCGAACGTCACTCTCGTTGCCATAGTCGCCGTACGGCAGGCAACAACAATGAATCATCGTGAATCGACATCAAACTGATTGTAATATCGCAACAAATCAACAACAAAAAAATCGACAACTCACCAGTAATTTTCTCGGATCTCTGCGGTCGTGGACTATCGGGCGCTATCATTGGCGGTGCCAAATGNAAAAAAAAAAACCAGCAAATCGACAACTCACCAGTAATTTTCTCGGATCTCTGCGGTCGTGGACTATCGGGCGCTATCATTGGCGGTGCCAAATGTCGTTGATCGACATTCAGAGCGTCCTGAAACGTGCACCCGCAGATTCGATCCACGCAACAAATCATTTCATTGACTCTTTACAGGACTTCATATACCTAACCGTTTTATTTGTGAATCACTTTCTTACTGTTGCTCACAAATCTTTCCTATCCATCTATGTGTGGACGAAGCTTTATCCATGTTTCATTGATTGAACTGCTTGGTGAAATAGGAGATTCTTGGTGACTCGCATCAACGCTTAATTTTAGAATCTTACCAACAACCCACTGATTAACGCAGATATCATTGGGCAGACTAACAAAAACATCAGAAGATCAATGAAGAAACAATCAAAAAACTCAGATGTAAACGAAAATAAATTGAAAAAAAATTGAAAGAAAAGCGAATTTGACAAAAGGAAAGCGACTTGAAACAATACTCTTAAAAAATGGACGAAACGATCGGTCAATCAATTGAGTGATCAACAAACTAACTGCCATTTCATCGGTTGAACGAAAAGCCATTTGTCTTTCGAGGCGTGACCTCCGTATGGAAAGTGTACTCATATTACTGTACAACAACAATAACAACTTCCATTGTTGCTTTTCGTATCAGAATAAATGTTATGTGCTTTCAGATCACTTCACAGTATTCCGCAACTATTCAAAAGCAACACCCGTTCACCATAAAAATTTTATATCACGAAGTTTATGCAGATATTCACCGCTGTTTCGATGATCCTCTCTGAAAAATACAGAAAATTGAAAAATCATTAGCAATATGATACCCTTTTCACGCAGTAAATCAAGCGAAAGTCATTGGAATACAGTCAGAGTCATAAGCGAATCTTACGAGGTAACTATTTCAACTAATTAGTTAGTCATTCGATCTGATCGTCACCTTTCAGTCACCTTTCACATCCGTCCGATTTCTGAACATTTCAGATTTTTCTCATGAGCACATTTTTCAGAGTTCTCTCAGTCAGGCAGTCAGAACCTAAGAATTTTTAATGAACAAAGTGTGACTTTCCCATCATTTCATTACGAACAGTAACAAAATTTCTTGACGCTACGTAATTTGATGGGGTTGCTGCCTAAGCATGGAATCGCTAGCTGAGAGAATCTGACAGATTGCAGCGGTGAGCGAAAGACACTCGCCCGAACGATGCTCTTGCGAGCTTCGCTCTCGACTCGTCGGTCGATACGAATGCAAAGCGATCGAATCAAAGCGGATTAAACTTGCGGACAGGAAATGTCCGTCCGTCTGTGTTCAAGACCGACGCAGTGATGCTGATTGGCGGTATCGGAAGGGGCATAAATAAACATGAACTGATGAAATGTGAGCAGAGCAAGAAAAGCAACTCGAAAACAAATCAAACAAAATCTAAGACTGCCAGCATTCAAAATGCATCCTCCTCCCTCAGTTCATTAACAGCTATTCAACAAAATGAATTTTTTCAGCTATTGTTCAAGGAATATCGTTGCAAACTGTCTAAATAGTATCGTTCGATACCAACCACCAAAAGTAACAGCATCGGCAAAAATTCACAAACTTAAATAGTTTATTGAGTTCTTTTTTGCCACACACACACGCACACTTTTTCGGATGACATTCAAGAATCGTGAAAAATTTGATCGAAATCACCAAAATAAACGCACTGATTGATGTGCGTTTTCGTCAATTGACTTCTGTTCAATTCATTCAAATATGATTCACTATAAATCAAATAATGAAAAAACCAAAATTTCGTCATTCCCTCCCACTTTATATTCTTATTGACATCGAAATCTTTCAATGTCGACCCGAAAAATGACTCATGAATTGTGACACATTGCATGATGACGCAATTCGTTATCTCCAATGGTACAGACTCAGTTCACCCTTTTTCCGCCTTCTCTTTTGTGGACTCATCGTGCTAATATATTCAATATAACAAAACCTATGAAGGAAACATGAGCAGTTTTACTTTAATGCCAACTCAGATAGATATACTTTGAGAATTTAGAAAGCGAGATAAATCTGAAAGCAGTCCGAATATTCTGCGCAGTAGAGCTTAGACTTATAACGGAATATGATTCAGTTAGAAGTACAGGAATCTTGTTGTTCATGGGTATTAGATGATAAGAGCTACTGATTAGGGTTTGTTGGTCTAATACATTGCTGCCAGTTACAACTGAAGGAACCACGACGTCAAGAATCTTCCATTGATAACGCTATGGTTCTGAATTTTAAAAAATAGTATCATTTCGAATCGGTTCCACCTCCGTATCACCTGACTAGTATTCCGATTTGTTCGTCAATGATTCACTCATGAAACATGATTCACTCATGAACCTGAACTCAACATATACAATCATGTAAAAGTTGAAAAACAACGGACGAATATCGAATGGGAACGGAGAGTAAATGCAAAATAAAACAATCTGCTCACGATCAGAACATTCTGCAATGGAAGGCTTCGTCGAAATCTTTCTGAAGCGGTCGACTCGGCAAAGAACGCTCGCAGAAAAGAAGTGTCATATGCAGAAAAGTTTCCATGAACAACCAAAATTTCTGGATGATTGACGATATTGTGCAGATTCAGCACACTGCGCGACTATTAGTGCATAAGCGTGGAATGGCAATACACTCACAGCGATTATTTCAAAGAAATGCTTACAGAGCAGAATTTGGCTGATGTGAGAATAAAATTCAGTTCACTTATAGCATTCAAGGAATAATCGAAGGTGAACGAAAATGTTCGTCGGGAATAATCGAGCATTTGGTATTGTTGTTATTCGTTACATATTGCAGTCTATCGAACGTGCCTACCTAGCAAGTTATCATATGAGAAATGATCGCAAGTAACCAACCTTTGAAATATTATAAATAATTCATTTCATTCATTCAGTCGTGCACAACACCTTCCTTTTTCATGAGTGCATACTGGAGTTTATGCGCATGAATGTGTGTTTACGACACATGTTCAGAACGACAATATCGTTTATCGTTTAGCTGCATTCGATGAAAATGGATGGATAACAAAGCGATCAACTGCTATATCGTATGATGTTTACGACGAACAACTTCGAGACTATTCATCATACTGACGAATGAGGTGACTAGTGCTCTTTCAACACCTAACTCATCATACCTCAATTCACAGCGCTCACTCTTAATTGCCGTTCTGAGCGCATAAACTATTAGCTCTTTCATTTTTGAATGATATGCATGCGTGGAAGGCAACAACAGCAGTAGCAGCAGGCAGTAGTCA